AGCACAGTGTAATGAGTCACTAAGACGTGTCCCTTTTACCTGGAATCGATAGTGGGTTTGGGGAACATTTGTTAACAGTTGGGGATCCTCTTCATTGTTCTGTGAAGCTTGGAAAATGGCTTTTTCAGAGTCTTGAAAGACCTCCAGTGGGAAGGGTCCCTGCATGTTTCCCTTCCTTCCATCTCCTCCTTCACATCACATTCTCCTATTAGCGAAGGGGTCTCTTAAAAATAGTTTTGTTGTTTCTGTTTCCTTGGAGTTCCTTCCTTCCTAGTTTTTCTCTTAGATTTCTTTCATCCTCACTAGAAACTCCTTGACCCCTCTGAAGAAGATCAGAGAGAACAGCTTTTATTTAACACAGTTAGTAATTGCCTCTGGCAGGAAGACAAACATAGCACACACCTTCCTCTTCTTCCATACCTGCTGAATCTCAAGCGAAACTACTGCATAGACACGAAGAGAAACACAGTATGACAGAACACCAGACTGAAGAGGACTCTGGAGATCCGACTGGATCCACTCCCCCAGTTCCTTATTTTTCTGGGGAGGAAATCAAGCCCCAGAGAGTGGAAATGACACAATGCACTAATGCACTAGTGACCAGGCCTAGAATCATCTGCCCTAGTGGTGCCACCCTGCCTACCTCGTGGCTCCCCCTACGACTTTTCCCAGCTTATAGTAGAACACTCACTCAATCAGTAAATATGCGTTAAACATCTACTATGTGCCAGGCACTGTGCTAAGCACTGAGCATGCAAAAAAGAGGAAAAAGACAGTCCCTGCCCTCAAGGAGCTTACAATCTAATGGGGAAATTGCCTGTACATTACACTAGGTCACTCCAGCATTGTGCTCCTAACAAAAGTGGGGGTCTGGGAGTGCTGCTTTTACACTGCTTTACCTTCCCCCTTCCTGTGTTTTCTGCCAGGCCTTATCAGCCTGCCCATTCATCATCAAGACACAGCTAGAGGGCACAATGGATAGAGAGATGGACAGTCAGGAAGGCCTGAGTTCAACTCTAGCTTACTAGTTGGGTGACCTTGGGCAAGTCACTTAACCTCTGCCTGCCTCAGATCCCTCATCTGTAAAATGGGAATAATAATAATAGCGCCTATCTCCAAGAGTTGTTGTAAGGATAACATGAGATAATATTGGTAAAACACTTTGCAAACCTTAAAGGACTAAAATGCTAGCTATTTATTATCGTTATTATTGTCAACCAGTATTAGTTTGCAGAGGTAACTCAGTTAACAATCATCTCGTTAAACAGTTAATAGGTACAGTCTACAAATACCCATGATCACAATGTAAAAAAAAATACCTCATCCATCACTCCCCACTTCTGTTTACTGGGACTGTTTATCCACCACTAGGTTCCTGGCAGCCAAAAAAATTAAACATCATTTCAAGTTAAATTATCCCAAGTTAAAATATGTTAAATGTTAATAGAACAGTCACAGTAGAATGCAGACAAGTATGTAATCAATACAGCATGGGTAACAACTTTCTTCCCAACAGCAACCATCACTGATACACAATTCATGTAAAAAAAAAAATGTGTTCTGGCAGAAGGCTCAAAGACCCAAAGCTTTGCTGATTGATTTAATAACTACCAAGTTATTACATCCCTCTCCTGGGTTCTGCAGAGGTGGCAGTGACTCTTCATAAGAAAGAGATAGAATTGCAAGCTGTTTACAATCCAGGAGGTGGAGAAAAAACCAAGCTGATTTGTCCTGAATCCCTGACAATTCATTTATCTCCTTATCAATTAGCAGCCTTTCAGCTGATGCTTAACAATCACCCAGGTCAGACAAGAAGAATTCCTTTAAACTCCCAAACCACCCCCAAACAAAACCAGCAGCCTCAGAGATGCAAAGGTTAGGAATGGGAAAGGAATGGGAGTGATGTGTGTAGACATTCTTCTTTCCTCTGCTGGTTTCAGATCACTTTAAAATTGTTTCATCCTGCACAATGGGAACGTGATTTTGCTTTAACAACATAATCTAGAATCTGCTTAATCATAATAATATATATAGCTAGGTGGCACAGTAGATGAAATGCTGGGCCTGAAGTCAGGAAGCTCCGAGTTCAAATTCAGTCTCAAATGCCTACTAGCTATGTGACCCTGGGCAAGTCACTTAACCTGTCTACCTCAGTTTCAAGTGTAAAATAGGCCTAATAAAAGCAACCACCTTCCAGGGTTGTTGTGAGGACAAAATGAAATATTTGCAAAGGATTTTGCGAATCTTAAAGTACTATCTAAATGCTAGCTATTATTATTATTATTATCATTATCTAGAGTTCTTTGTAATAGAATTTATTTGCATTCGTTTGTTGGGTTTTTTAAGGGGGGTTTGGGGGCAGCAATTGTTAAGTAAAGATAGTCTTGAAATTTCTTATACTTGTAAAGGATCCTTGGAAGCATGGCTATTGGGACAATATGAAGTAAAGATCTATAAGGTGGTACCTATATTTAGAAGGGCTAATTTATTAAGCTAAGTACAACTCAAGCAGAGCTAATCAGCTTTGAGCTCACCATCCGTCCTGTACTTGGCCCTTTATTGACTGTGGCAAAGTGACCTCTATTCTGAGGGGCCAGTAAGGGCCCTGATCAGTCTAGCTCTGACCCTAGAGGAAAAAAAACAGCAAATCTCTGCCTTAACTTTTTTTTTCTTTCTCTCTTTTATTGCAGCTGGTACAGAGATTTGCAATGGAGGCCCGGCTCCAAAGTCTTCCACCTGCTGCATTCTCTAAATGCCCTTCAATGCTGATGTCCCAAATGAGGCATGAGTCTTCTTATCTCCCAGGCACCTCGCTGAAGCTCCTGCAGAACTGAGGTTTCTTATTGCAGTCTGCAAAGATAAGCAGGTTTCTGGAAATCCAAAGGAAAAATCTCCCCCAAATATTTTTTTAATTTAAAAAAATGTACTGGTTTTACAGTTATTTTTATAAACTACAGTAAAGCCAAGAACTAAAAGTTCAATTTGGCACATTTTTAAAAGGTTTAGATTTTTAGTAGGTACTGCCTCCCCCAAGAAGGCTAGGTGTGTGTATGTGCATAGATTGGCTACACACACACACATACACACACACACACACACACACACACACACACACACACACACACGTATTCTAATTTATCTTCTGCTCTACATAAAATTTACATCCAAAGCCCTCCAAGTGAAACCAAAACATTGAAACCTAATGTGTGGCTAAAGTTGTGAGTCCATTGGAAAACACACTCATCCCATCTGGTCTATTAGGAAGGACCAAAGCAGAAATGGAGCTGAGGGCTGCTTTCTGCATGACAATCCTACAATCCATATACAGTTTATAGACTCTAAAACCTTTACTATCATCACCAATTGAGAGCTGCCTTAATTCCTTTTCAATGGACCCATGAGCTCATCAACTCCTCTAACACTGATTTGCAGCCCATCCCCGATTTCTTATCCTATAGGATGCCCACCCATATGTTCCCATCAATCTCCTAGAAGACTTTCCTCTAGGCATGTCTTTTAACATTCCAGATACCAGCTCAGCTCAGCTTTCACTGGATAACTAGCCCATCTGATCATACATCTTGACAGCTGACAACTCACCTGAACCAATTTAGATAATTCCTTTTAAAAAATGTCACTTTCCACCTCTACAGCAGCCACAGGCCCCTTATAGCTTAGATGTGTAGCCTTTATAAACCATGGAAGAAAGGAAGAGAGGTGAGTCAGAAAGCTATGTTCTCCCCATCACTCCATCACACAGTGAGGTCTTCCCCTAATACAATGGTGTGAGTTCAGCAAGCACCTTATTCCTCACTAACAAATAAGTGGAGGGAGGGTTAGAGAGGTAAGGGTGCCCGTTTGTGAAAGGCTATTAATTTCCTCTTAGCAACCAAGGGTTTAGTTTGTAACAAGTGCCCCAAAGATTTTCTTCTCAAGGTGGGTGAACACCAAGATCACAGTTAGTTTAACTAGAGCTTTAAGGAATTATATAACCGTGTTTGCAACCTACTTGTTTAGCATGTTTAAGAGGCAAGGTTTGGTCATCTCCCCGAAGAGGCAAGTTGTGAACAATTTTGTAAGAGATCTCAGTTCAAAGACGTGAAGCTGCTGGGCTGAGGTGAGAGGGCCCAGGGACCCAAAGCCCTGAGCTCCACCACAGCTCTGTGATCTTGGGTAACAACCTCCTGGCCTGTTTTCTCATCTGTAAAATGGGAATCTTTCTTGTATTACCTACCTCACAGGGTTGTTGTGAGGCTCCAATGAGAGGTCTATGAAAGCACTTTGTAACCATAAAGCAGTATCAAATATGAGCAACTATTCCAATAAACAGGCACTTTGCAGAGAAGAGTAATCAATGGCGCCCCAGGTTGGTCTGGAGAAGGGACATGAGACAAACTCCAGATTTGCGAAGGGCAGTAAGGTCAGACAAGGCAATGCAGAAGTAAAATACTAGGAATAGTGCAAAAGGTTGTGATGGGGCAGAAAAGCAGCACATGTGCTTCCTCATGGATAATGAGGACTTGGGGAAAGCACAGTCAAAAATCTGCCAACAGAATAGCATTAGATGTCACCAGAGAAGTGAAAATGATGTGGGAGTCAGGAACAGTGCAGAGGACAAGGATGGGATTCAGGGAGCTGCTACATCCTACCCCAAACAAGGCTTGACAGCTGGCCTTACAATGGAACGTAACAGAATGAGGACCAGACAGGGAATTCTTATATGACCAGGTATCATAGACTATGAATATAAACAGGTTCAAAGATTCATGCATAAAAGATTCCTAACCAGTTACTATGGGGAGAAGATGGAGCCTGGCTGACCTCTGGGGTGACATCAAGGGTAACTTCACCTTCCTCCCCCACCATCCTCCATGCCCCGGCCCCCTCAGACAGAACACAGGGCAGCGGGGACACAGGAGCTGGTGGAGGGAGAGAGGCAGGACTTACGATGTTAAATTCATCTATAACTGGAGATAGCAAGAAAGATCCACAACTTTGAATACATCATAGAAAGCTTTATTAGACCACAACTCTTGCAGAAGAAAACAGCACACTTTTTATTTGAATATGGAGTCACTTTGGGCTGGAATGGAGGGAAAAAAAGAACAAGTTATTATCTTATAAAGCCTAACTACACCAATAATGTAATATAAAAAAAAACCCTCCTTTATACATCAGGCTACCTATTTTCCACTTAGTTTTAAATCAAATTCAGGAACAGGGCTCATCTATTTTCTGTCAACTGCTTTCTTTAGGAAGCATTTCCAAGTATTCTGATTTCATTTAGAAGAGTAAGGATGGTGAAAAATACCACAATTCCTTGACACCCCTGGCCATGCTCTTTTAGTGAAACCCTTTAAGGATTCATTAATTTAATATTACCCTTTGAACTAAAAGGGAAAATTAGGGTCACTACAGGCAAACCCTAAGCAAAAACACCAGTCAATGAGTGTCCAGGGAAGAAAGCCCTCACTAAGGCCCTTAGCAGCAAGCCATGGAAACAGCTGCAGACCCTCCAGGGGAAGGGAAGGTCCTTTTCACTGACAAACACTGTGGCCACCACTCTGCCTGCTGCCTGCTTCCTGTTCCAGCCCCACCCCCCAGCCTGCAGCTCTAGTCCATTCTCCTTATACCAGTTCAGGTAGGGAATTCTCCCCACTACAAAACCATAGTAGTTGCTTTAGCACCTTCTTCCAATTTCTGCTGAGCCTTCTTCATTTCTTCCTCCTTCTTTTTTTGCTCTGCTTCTAGCTTCCGTTCTTTTTCTGCCTGTGGCTTTAGATAAGCTGTTTTAAGAAAAAAAATCCCCCAACCAACTTATTTATGAGACAGAATGTTATACTGCCTTCAGAGGGCCTAAAGTCTAAATCCAGGCTCTGCTACTTGGCTCAGGGGGTTAGTGTTGGGACTTAAAGTCAGGAAGACCCGAGTTCAAATTCTTGAGACACTTGCTCTGTGACCCCAACAAGTCTGTTAACCTTTCAGATATGGGTTTCCTCATCTGTAAAGTAAGAATAACAACAGCACCTGCCTTCATAGGGTTGTTGTGAGACACAAACAAGTTAATATATGCAAGGTTCTGTAAACCTTAAAGTGCTAAACAGACGCTAGCCATTATCTTTACTACTCCTATTTACTGTGTGTAAACATGGCCCCAAGTCACAGCTTCTCAGCCTTCCTTCAAGCAGAGCATGAAGGCTGTGCTAAATGACTTCCAAGACCATTTCCAACATCTAAGTACTTGGATTCTATTCAAAATAATGTCTAGGTAATAGTCTTAACCAACCCATAAATATCTAGTTTTTAAACTAATGAGAAGCACTCATCTTTCACTCTATTTTCCAGAGAGAAAAAAAAAATCAACACACATTGGTTAGCTCCTTAAAATTTATCTAAAACTCTACAGGAATACAAGCATAGAAGAGCAGGAGCCCAGTCAAGAGCCTTCCCACTCACCCTCTGTCCTTGGCTTATCTTTGGCAGAAGGGCAGCTGATCAGACAGGGGACAAAATCATTTTACTGGCAAAAATTACGGGTATCTGTGGAGAACATAAAGGGGGACACACTAATCCCATTCCGATAGGGGCCTTCAATGACACATCCAGAATCTCACTAGCTCAAGACACCACTGTTTTGGGGCCCATTAGCCAGAGCCTGGCTCTAACAGCAACACTTTTAAGGTTCCCCTGACTCTGGTTAATGCACATTTACAGATAAACCAAAGCCATGAACTCATGAAGGAATAAACCTCACTTGCATGTCATATTTTAACTGATGTTCATGCCAGAGCTATTTCTCTGCAAACTGGTACCAGGCTTTGAAAGGCCTTCTAAAAGACCCTTATTTCTTACAATCTATACACTTAGAAAACACAGATTCTCCCCGATATCATGGTTCTCTATTGGCATAGCTCCTGGGAACAAAGGAATGGAATGCCTTGCAAGACCCCAAGAAGCTCACCCTCTTGAGCCTTTGAAGAGTTATAGGATAGGCTGCAGATGGTAGAACAGAAGGGGGGAAAACAAGCATATGTACATATACATATGCATGTGTACATATTTGTACACATAGCTTTGTTTCATGTGTGTGTGTGTGTACAGATTTCAGATACAGAATATAGTTCTAGAGGCTACACACAGATGAATGTGAGCCAAGACTATCAGCATCTCCTGCAGGTTACCTGGTTTGGCACCCTCTACCTTGAGGCTAGCCTCTTACCTTATCTTATTCTTAAGAACAAATACTGATCATTCACTTTGCAAGTTTTCAAATCTGTGAATGATTTTAATAGTGCAGGAAAAACATTATTCAAGGAAAGAATTAAGAGTCAGAGGACCTGAGTTCCAACTGTGACTCTTACTTTGGCAAGTCACATTACGTTTTGGGGCCTTTATTTCCCCAATCTTAAAGAATGGGTTGTTCTAGGGCTCGCTCAAGTCTCTTCTGACTCTAGATTCTATAATCATATAATCCTAATCCTGCAAAAAGTGAAAAATGGAAATGCCTGCTCAAGACGACCTATTATGTTCTGTGCCTTCCCCACAAATTTTTTAACATTGAAAAAAAAAACACTGACATGATCCCCCCATATCCTACACACCTTTTCCTACCCAGAGGCTGTCAGGATAAGTGAGATCAGGGGCCAAGCCTGGAAGAGAGGCACAGCTTTATGAAAAACTATTACAGCAGAGATTTTAATGGTTTATAAGCAGCTGTAGTAAAATATATGGAATTTTATACCCAAACATATGTTTCTCCTTGTCTGCTGTCCCTCTCTTAGAAATCTGAACAACTCCTACTTGAAATTCTCTCATGGGCATTAAAGTCAACCTGACGGTGGTCCTCCTAGGAAAGGTTGTCTACAATAACAAACTGCCTTCCCACATGCATAAGGCCTTTTTCAGTTTCCAAAGCTGATTTCCCATCCAGGATTCATAAAAAAGGGGAGGTGACCCCAGATTGTGGGGGGCATTCAAGGTAAAGCAATCTGGCCTTTGCTCAGGTAATAGGGAGCCACTGAAGATATGTGATAAGTGGTGTAACCAGTTCTATGAATGAGGTATTAGGAGCAGGGATTCTTGCTCTTATTTTTAAGATTAAGAAAACCAAAGCCCGGAGAAAAACGTTAGATCTGTGGCGTGGTGGTATTGGTATAGGACCTGGGTTCAAATCCCGCCTCAGTCACTGATTTGTGTGGCTTTGGGCTGACAAACTCTTTTTCTCCTTCTCTGGATCCCTTTTCCCTCTGGAGGAGGAAAAACCAACTGGCCAGACCCCTGCTGGCTCTAGTCCAGACCCTCTGTCCATGCGGGCAAGGCGGACAGGGCTAGCCCGGGACCCCGGCGTGTCCCCCTGGGTTCGGGCCTCCTCTGGCCAAAGGCTCGGGGTGCTAGAACTCGTTCCTCGAGTGGGACCTGGGGATCCAGAATGCGGGGTCAGTCACCAAGGACGATGGGGGCAGGGATTTTTGGGGGGTACATCTGGGGTCAGGGGACGCTAGCCACAGAGAGGGGCAGGGATTTGGGGCGCCCTGGGGTCAGAGGTCACTCACCATAACGCCTCGAACCGTAGACTATTCCCAAGAGCAGGGCCGAATACCGTCCCGCCTGCGGGAGACACAAGGACACAGATACGGGGGTCAATGGGAGCCGCGCGTGGACAAGGACGAGCCCTCACACACGACCCCTTCCCCCTGCGCGGGGGCCCGACACCCGGGATCAGGCTGTGTGTTGGGGGCGGGGGGTAACCCTGGGCTGCGTCCGACCTTCTCGAGCCTCCTTCTCCTCCTCCCTACCCTCCCTCCTCCCGGAGGCCTGGGGTGAAGCCAAAGTGGAGATTCACCTTGATGAGTGGGGAGACATTCACGGGAGGCACCATTTTTTCCCTGACCCTCGACCCGGAAGCAGAAAGAGCAGCCGCCGGGCACAGACGGTGAGGAGTAAAGGACGGAAGGGGCGTGGTTGAAGAAACGAGAACGAGGACGCAGCAAGCGTGCGCGCCTGGGCAGGAGGGTGGAGTCGGAGCAGCGTGCGCGCCTAAGCAAGGGGGCGGGGCCGGAGAGGCGTGCGCGCCGCCGGTAAGAGCTTGCTCGCACGCACGCGCCTCTCCGTTACGCCTAAGGCGGCTTCGAGGCTGGTTTTAGGGCGGAGCCCTGCGGGACTATTCTAGGAGCGCCGTGTGAAAAACGTGTGTGTGACCTTTGTGTCCCAGACGTCCCCTAGTGCAGTCCTCTGATAAGGGGACACCTCTCCCCGTGTCCCACAGTTGAACTGGGGTCACGCGGTGAGTGGTGAGGAACCCCACCACCTTGCAGATTAAAGGGATGATCAGTGAGTATCTCGAAAGGGAAGCAGTGATCACCAAGGGCGGGCCAGCCAGCATGGGCCTTATTTCCTTTTTCGAGGGGGCTACTGGACAACATAAGATTCTAGCAAAGCATCTGACAGTCCCTCTTGTTTGGTTTTGTTTGGTTTTGTTTGGTTTTTCGTTTATTTATTTTGGTTTGAAGTTTTTGAGATAAAGGTAGAGAGATGTGGACTAGATTAGTGGTCTCCAAAATGGAAGTAGGGCTGGAAAGACCAGACCCCAGAAGATGTGAGATGGGTGGCAACCCACCATACCTGCCAAGAGATGTGATCCGTGGTTTCAGCAGCTGCACCTACCCTTGTTCCCCAAATTCCCTCAACCCAGCCCCCAACCTCCTCTGCAAAAGCCCTCAATCTCCACTGCTGAGCCTGACCCACCTCTACACCATCACTGACGACTATCCCATTCTCTGTGCTTATTCAGACACCATCCTAGTTAAGGCTTTCATCGTGTCTTGTCTGGATTTTAGAAATAGCCTCCACCTCAAAAATCTCCCCTCTTCCCTCTCCAGTCCATCCTTCACACAGTTGCCCCCGTGACTTTTCCTAGAGCATGTATCTGCCCATGTCACTACCTCATCTTTCAAAAATGTCTGATTTTTATATAAGTTTGATAATACATAGTAATTATTAGTATGTGAAAATTATATATAAATATATGTATATGGGGGGGCTTAGAAACCTTTTACTGATGGGGGTGTGCAATCAACAAAATCTGACTAGCATTCACCAGGATAATAGTAAAGGGTCAGCTAGGTGGCGCAGTGGATAGAGTGATGGCTAAATTCCGCCTCAGACACTGACTAGCTGGGGGACCCTGGGCAAGTCACTTAACTCTGCCTCAATTTCTTCATCTGTACATTGAGCTGGAGAAGGAAATGGCAAACCATTCCAATATTTTTGCCAAGAAAACCCCAAATGGGGTCATGAAGAGTTGGACATGACTAATTGACTAAATAACAAAGAAAAAGGATGATAGTAAAATTAGCTGGGTTTGGACAGTAGTGAAATGACTGAATCCAAAGAGTTAATTGTTAATGATTCCTTGTCAACTTGGAAGAAAGTGTGCCGTGTAATGCCCCAGGCATCTGTGCTTGGCCTTGGTTTTTTAGTTTTCTGTTTTTTGTTTTTTTCATCAGTGACTTGGATAAAGGAATAATAATAATTTTTCCTCACATTTTCAGATAACACAAAGCTGGAAAGGATAGCTGACATGTTGGATGATAAATATAAGATCCTTTGGGCAGGTCAGATTTAATAGAGATTAATGTGAAGTAATTTGATCAACTTTATAGTTGTAGGATGAGGGAGGTATGGCTAGACAATCTTCAAAGAGATGAATGAATATTTTAGTAGACTCTAAGCTCAGTCTGCATCAACAGTGTGATATAGCAATCAATAGACTAATGCTAGCCTAGGCTGATAGAGATCATATAGTATAAGGGAGGCAGTTGTCTGGCTGTACTATCCCAGTCAGACCACACTTATAATATTTTTTTCAGTTCAGGGCATCACTTTAGGAAGGCATGGACAAGCTGTAGAGTATCCAGAAGTGGGTGACCAGGAGGGTCTTAGGAGGAACAATTGAAAGGAGGGGGGTAATTACCCTGGAAAAGGGTAGACTTAGAGAAAAGATCTGTTCACTGTCTTCCATTATCTGAAAGATTGTCATGTGGAAGAGGAATTGGGCTTGGTTCCAGAGGACAGAAATGAGGAAAATGGGCAAAATGTGGAGAGACACAAAATTTCAGCTTGTTGTGCACAGAGGGGCTGTTCCAGTCTTCCTTTTATTACCTTAGTATCTGAATTCTACCTTGGAAGATAAACTCACCTTCTGCTTAACTGAGAAACATCCCATGTGAGTTCTTGTTTTCTGCACACTTCAAAATCTGTCTTTATCCATCCTTTCTTTCCTCCTTTGCTTCAAGGTTCAAAGGATGTGGTAGCACCTCCTCCTCCTTTTTGAAATTAAGTTGCCCTATCTCACCAGGACTGGAAGTCTCATCACTTGTGGCCCAGTCGCACAGCTGACTGGCACAGAAGCTTTAATCTGCTCCATTTTTCTGACTTAGGCCAGTTCGACCCTCATTGGGCAGCGTGGTAACCCTGTACTCTCAGAGGATTCCGATAGTTTAGAACTTCAAAACTCAATCAGTCCTCCAACCTCAGCCTTCCCAGCAGCAAGGATGACAGGTATCAACCACTTTGCCTGGTCTTCCGTTCCTTCTTACCAAGTCTGATCCCTCTACTCAGGTTTATGATCTCATCTCTTTCTGCCTACTCAGGAACCTCTGTTCATTCCTCTCTTGCCTTTTCAAGTTCTGGAGTTGAACTAGTGATATATAGTGTGACAGAATCCACCTTGTGAAACTAAAAGAGGCCTATTTCATGCAGATTTATAGCCATTCCCCCAACCAAACTTTGAATAAAGCAGCCAGGTCAGCAGCTACTGTATCAGAATAAGCATCCAGGGGAAGGGACAGGCTTCAGATGTAAGAAAAGCCAGACTTCAAACCCCACAGGACTCTGGGGCATGGCAGGTGGAGATACATCCCTTTCTCCTGCCTGTTTCATCTGCTCTGATATTCCTGAGATGGCCAAACATGGCCTCGATATTCCCAAGGCACTTTTGCTAAAGATAAAAGAACCTGGTGGGAGGAAGGGGTAGTGGGGTAGGGACATTGTCACTTAACTCTATACTTCCCTCCCTCCCAAGCCTGGGATAAGTCTTTGGGAGCCATCTATGGGTCCCTTTCCTCCCTACTGCTCTGTCAGCAGCCCTCCTTCTTGTATCCTGATCATCCCTCTGGACCCAGCCTCTCATCCCGGGTGCTATCTTTAGAGCTCACTCCTCAGATTCTCCCTGAACCTGTCAGAGACGTTTCCCCCAGAACTGTCATCCCTGACCCTCCAAGGCAACTTAAAGGAGACAGTTGTGCCTCAGGTGAGTCACAGTGGCTGGGGAAGGGTAACAGGGTCTTTTGGCTTCTCTTTGTAATTGCCAAGGAAGAAAGTAATGGACAGAAAGGAGAAAGCACAGAGATCCAGTCTTACATGAAATTCTTACAAATGAATGTTCCCATATCAGTGGGATCATAGAGGTTACTCTATGATCTGATTCCAGAGGTGAGAAGGAGGAGACACAAGACCATTACAACTATTTCAACAGAGCCGGTTTTCTTTGTAACCCTATGCATTGAATTAATTTAAAAGCATTATTCTGAAAAGGGGTCCTGGGCTATAGCCAACTGCCAAAGCAGTTCATGTCATTAAAAAAGCCAGGAACCCTTGCTCTCAATGTTTTTGGCCCCAAACTCTTGGGCTCTCCATGATTTACATTTTTTGTTCTTCTTCCAAGTTTTGGGGGTGGGAGGAAGAAAGGATGAGAGAGAATTAACGCAGATCTCAATACTGAGACAGCTTCTAAGTCTCTCTTGCCCTAAATAGGACACTTGGTTTATAGCCCTTTATAGGCCCAGATCTCCCTACTCAGACAACCTTATTCCTAGATTTCACTACCCTGAAATGCCACCCCTCTCTGCTTAAAGTCCCCTTCTCAAAGTTCTGATCTTCTTGCTCTGATATTCCCTCTACTTCTCTCTGACCTAACGTACCTGGTTCAGAGTTCTCTGCAGGCTTAGGTCTCTTGGCTCAGAAACACATACCTCCAGGTTTCTCTGCCCTGAGACAACCCCATCCCATCATCTACCTGCTCAGATTGGCCTTCTTCCCCCAAAGCGTTCTCTCTGTTCAGAAGCACCCTTCCCCCCAGATTTCTCAGCCCTTAGACCCTCCTTCCTTCTCAGAGTGGCTCCCCATAAACTCCCCATACTCAGATATGGCCCCCCGCCAGGTTTTCCTGCTTGGATCTCACCCTCCTACCACCCCCACTAAACACACATAGCAGTTGTTCAGTCCCTGGGGTCCATGGGTATCTGCAAGCCTGTCCATGTAGGGAGTGGAGCTGAAGATGAAGCCTGAGCTGTCCCGAGGGACTGCCCACCAGGAACTTAAGACCCATGGTACACCCCTCCCACCACAACAGAGGAGGCCTGCAGGGGGACAGGAGAGTAAGAACAAAAGCTGCACCAGGAGAGTCTTAACCCAGAGAAATGGTGAGTGTCACAGGGCCCCAGGGCCCAAGGATGACATCAGTGTGTCCTATAAGAGGCCCCTGGCTACCACCAGTTGTGGAGTGTATCTAGGCTCTCTGCTTATCCCAGTTAATTCTTCTAGAGGAGGAAAGCTTGAAAGGGCTGATACTTACACCAGACAGCTCTGAGTTTGGTCACTGCTGACCCCATAATCAGAGAAGGCCCCATGGAGGATATGACAGTCTTTAAAGATGGAGTGGGGTAGAAACTCAATAGCTGGAGGGGATCCAGTCACATCAAACGCTCAAGCAAAATTATAGAGGCAGGAGAGTATAGGGTGTGGGGTGGCTTTTTTTTTTGAGGGGGAATGGAAGAGGGTTGTGTACTTTCACTGAGGTAGAGAATTCATGAAGACGAATAGTATTAGACAAGGCTAAAAAAGGTACCTGAAGGTTGTGGGGGCATCCAAGGCAGGGAAGTCTGGCCTTTGCTCAGGTAATAGGGAGCCATTGAAGGTATTTGAACAGTGACATGACCAGCTTTATGAATAAGAAAGATTACTGTGGCTGGAGTCTAGAGGAGAAACAGAACAAGGGCAGAAAGAACCATTAAGAGTCTATTACAGGGACAGCTAAGTGGTGCAGTGGATGGAGCACTGGCCCTGGAGTCAGGAGGACCTGAGTTCAAATGTGACCTGACACTTGACAGTAGCTGTGTGACCCTGAGCAAGTCACTTAACCCCATTGCCTAGTCCCCCCCCAAAAAAAAGAGTCTATTACACTGATCCAGACAGATGTTAATGAGGGTCTGTAAGAAGGGGGTGGTATAGGAATAGAGTGAAGGACACAGGGGCAAGATCATCAGTGGCAGAATTGAAAGGATTTGGTAATGGATTAAATAGGAGGAGTGAAGGAGAGGGAACAGTCAAAGGTATTCCACGATTATAAACAGGGTGACAATGAACGAAGGCACTACAGACTGAAATAGTGAAGTCAGAAGGAGGACAATGGGGGCAGGATAAATTAGCTCAGTGCTGGCCATGCTGGTTTTAAGAGGCTGGTGGAACCTCTCGTTAGAAATATCCTCTATGTATTTGGACTTGCAGGTCTGGAACTCAGGACCAAGGATAAAGATTTGGCAATTATCTGATGGGATGGGGAAGGAATGAACGAGATTGCCAAGGGAAAGAGTGTAGATGAGGAAGAGGGTCAAGGGTACAACCTTGAGGAATATCAGGGAGGTGAGGAGCCAGTAGAGGAGGCTGAGAAGGTCAGGCGACTGAAGAGAGTGCGGTGACTCTGAGCTGAAAGAGGAAAGAGAATCTGGGAAGAGACTGCAGTCCCCAGTGTACTGCAGCGAACCAAAAAAGGCCCTTCAGCTTGACAGTTAGGTCATTGGTGACTTAAAGAATGCAGCATCAGTAGGGGAGTGGAGTGGAAACTCAAGTACAAGAGGCTGAGAAAGTTGGGAGTCAACAGTGGAGCCGTTGTCCATAGCAACAAACGGGAGGAAAATTATGAGACCTTAGCCTTATGTCAGGGGTTCTTCACCTTTTTTTCTATCGTGGACCCCTTGGGAAGCCCATGAACCCCATCTCAGAATAATATTTTTAAAGTCACAAAAATACATAAGATTGTTAAGGAAACTAATTATACCACAACACAGTTATCAAAATTTAAAAAAAATCACAGATCCCCAGAAATCTATCTGTGGACCCCAGGGTGTGAACAAGAAAGGCAATTTTGTGATTGGGAAGAATGTAGCTAGATGGGAAGGAACCAGTGATTAGGGAGACATTAAAGGTGTATAAGAAGAAGGGGATGATTCTGACAGTAAGGTGTTAAAAGAGGTTGGAGGGGATGGGATTCAGGGTGCCGAAAGAATAATTGGCTTGAGTTAGTGAGCCTTGGAATACCTTTTCTTCTTGGGCTGGAGGGAAGGAAGGAAGAATTGATGATGATACTGTTCCCTAGGCCTCCTTGCCCCTAAGGGAAGGAATCCTTACAGCTCTTCAGGGGCCCCTTGACCACCTCTGAACTATTCGCTCCCATTTTAGGCCAGCAGGAAGACCAAGAAGAAGGAAGGTGGTGCTCTTCGTGCTCAGAGGGCCTCATCCAATGTCTTTTCCAACTTTGAACAGACACAGATTCAGGAATTTAAAGAAGTAAGTCTCCTTCCCATTTCATCTCTACCCTTTCTCTCTCCCCCTCACCTGACCAGCTCCAACTGCTCCTAAGAACTTTTCCTTTCAAGGAAGCCCAAGGCACACCTACCTGTAAATCTGGGAATCCTTGTGTAAAGTAGAAAAGCAGATTTCCCCTTAGGTTACCATCTGTGTCAATCCTGATTCTCCTATTTGGGATGAATTTAAAGTGACACAAGGCTATAGTTTAGGGAAGATGCTAGGGAAATACCTGGGTCTGTACAATATTCTTAATAAAAAAAAAAAACCTAGTTTCTCTCTGTGAGCATAAGCATGAGGACTGAGTCAGCAAAAGGGTTTTAATAGTAGATGCCTTCCTGAGATCCAACAAGGGACTTATCCTCCTCTTCTCCTTCCACCTCCCTCATCCCTGATTTGCCTCGTTTGTTTTCAGGCATTCACACTCATGGATCAGAATAGGGATGGATTTATCGACAAAGAGGATTTGAAAGACACCTATGCCTCCCTAGGTATGTATTCTCAGAAGGAAAATCCATCCTAAGCTGCTTTGAAAAAAATTTTTATGAATGATTTTCAAGAACATTTCATTATGATAATATAAAATTAATAATATTAATCCCTCATGTACACAGCACTCTACACTTAAAAAGCCCTTTCCCATCCATCATCTCAACACTCCAGTGAGGCTGGACAGAGATTTAGAGATGGAGTAACCAAGAGTTGCAATAGGTCTTCCGAATCAAGGCCAAAGCCTTGTTTCACTTCCATATGCCCTTTGCCTTTCTGTTCTTTCTGTGTTAAAATAAAATGATGGAATCCTAGCATCATAGCATAATCTACATGTTTTGAGACTAACATTTACTCTTAGGTATAGATGACGAGGGCTGTGGGGACAAATGAGAATTGGAGGGGGGAGGCAGGGGGTGAATTCTGCTGGGCTTAGCCTGTGGGGAGAGCTCACCAGGGTCCTGGTAGAGTGTATAGTCCAAGGGAGAAAGCCAGGGCTTTGGCACAAGGTGGAAGAATGAGAGTCCCAGTGGGTAAAGAGCTGGCAGTATCCCAGGAGAATGCTGCTGGAGGCAGGCAGCATGGAGAAGAGGATGGCATGGAAGCTTCCTTTGATCACAGTCAGCTGAAAATCCCCATGTCTAATTCTAAGCTCCACAATGTAAGAGAGAGAAGGTCTGAAGAGGGCAGAGCATGGTCATTGATACAGAGCCCAAGAAGGAATTAACGGCACAGGGAGGGAGCCTCAGGTAGGCCACTAGGCTGCCTAAGGAGGTGAAAATAGAAAAATGGAGCAGGTCCAAGCTTTCCTGCTCAGCAGTGCTGGGATCAGGCCTACAGAGTGGCAGCCACATTTGTAGCCTGGGTGCAGAAGGAGACCCAGTCTTATAAACAATCAAGCAACAGTGACAACAACCCTGAAAGCAGCTGAATGAGAGCAGATAGGAGTGGGGAGAGACTTGAGGAGGCAATTTTCCCTACCTTGCTTCTGTCATTTGACTGATGTGAGGCTCCAGTGATGTGATTCTGCTCTTGGAAAGGTTCCAAGCACCAAACAAGGGTGAGCTGTTATATTTATGATGATCCTCCTTGTTATTGTACCTTCATACATCAGTGGGTCCATTATCTCATTGATGTGAGTGCTCAGCTGGCCTGGAGCTCAATCCATTCATGTCTCCTCATGCTGTGTAATTCTTGCCCTGCCCTCTCATAAATCTGCTATTGGATCCAGACCCAAGGCCTTCCTTGAAATGTTTTAACATTCTGTGAATGCCATTAGAGCACCCAGGCTATCCGTCTGTTAGCCCTTACTCTCACCGCATGACCAGTCCACTTCCATTTCTGGACATAAATTTTTTTGATGACTTTTTTTTACATCACTTCTCCTATACAAGCCATCAGCCATAATGTGCTGCAACCCACTCACACCCACTGTGGAGTTCTCCATCATCCTTTGGGGCTCCTGCAGTTTGGATTCTTCCCTCAGTGTGGCATTCCATGATTCACAAGCACTGGGATTCATCACTGGGAGAATGATGGTATTTAAAAGACAGCCTGTTGTGTCAGGGAGGAGCTCGGGGTCACTAAAAACCCTTTGCCATTTCCCAAATGCACTCCATCCTGTTCTGTTTGGCACATTCTCTTCTGGGCTCTGCTCATTGCCCTTCTGCCCAGGATAACATACTGATGGAGCCATCATTTATTCAAATACTGGTGGCACCTATAATGTCAGCCTGGATGACTTAGGACACAAGACCTAGGAGGAAGTTAAGTCAGAAAGACAGGTGGCGTAATGGATAGAGCACTAGACTTAGCAGTTAACTAACCTGGCCTTCAAACCTGTTTCTGACACTTAATAGCAAGATGCATGGTCCTGGGCAAGTCTGAACGTCTCTCAGCTTCTATTTTCTCATCAGTAAAATGAGGAGCTTAGACTACATGGCACCTAAGTCACATCTAAGTTTATGAACTTATATGATAAATGATGGCTCGGGGCCACATAGTTAGTGTCAGAAGTGGGATTTGAATCCAGGCCTTCCCGGCACCATGCCCAACATACTATCTACTACATCATGCCGCCATTACTAATTATTTTTATCATTATGATTAAATAAGCTGGAGGTATGGGAGATAAGGTTGGGCTATTTAGGAGAATGGGGGGGATTATGATGCTAGTGACATTTTTTGCCCTTCTAATTCATGTGCGGGAGTGAAATCTATGTGTCTCTACCTTTTTGCCTTTGTCCCTCTTTCCCTACTTATCTATGTCTGTCTTTCCCTTTATCCTGGGCTCTGCCCTCTACCTCTCCCTGCTGCCATCTTTTTCCTTTTCCTGGTTTCTATCTTTTGTTCCTTTTGGCCTGGACTTTCCACTCCCATTTCGCTGTCCCTCTTCCGCCTTCTCCCTCTCTTTCTCCTCCTGCCTTTCTCCTCCCTTCCTCTCTAATCCTCTTTTTCTCCCTCCCTCTTCTCTCCCCGTACCTCTCTTTTCCTCTCTCTTTCCCTTCCTCTCTCTTCCCTTCTCCCTCATTCCTCCTTTCCCCCTCACTGTATCCCCCTCTCTGTACCTTCCTCTTTTCTCTATGCACCCCTGGTCCCTTTTCCCCACTTCCCACAATTTGTCACTTTCTCTCCCTATCTCTATCCTGCCCCACTCCCACCTTCCTGATACAGGCAAGATTAATGTTAAAGATGATGAGCTGGATGCTATGCTGAAGGAGGCCACAGGCCCCATCAACTTCACCATGTTCCTGAACCTGTTTGGAGAGAAGCTGAACGGTAAGCTCACCGGGCTGTAGCTGAAGTAGAGGTCAAGTGGCCTGCTGGCCCCAGGCGCTGGGCTCCTGCTAGACATCTCCTCAGGCCAGCCCCGCCAGAAGCCAGGGGAGTTCCAGGAACAACTTCTCTTCCTGGGACAGACTTATTCATGTTGCATTGCCCAGATAGAATACAGACCATGTGCCTAGTCCTTGCTTCACCTTGGCCCTCAAAGGCTCAGGTGCCTTCCTCTAGGAGGCCCATATCTGACCACCCAGCCCACTCTGATCTCTCCCTCCTAAGCTGCAACAACACTTAGAACCACACTGGCTAGCTGAGACCTCCTCTTCTTTACTGACCACAAGCTCTTTCAGGGTCTTCTCCCCCGTCATTGCTCCAGCCAATTCCTCTCCCTTTCCTTCCTTCCTGCCCACACATTTGTTCACAGACTAGCACTAGCATAGACTCTTTTGGATTTGCTGCTCCTTGATCCCCATCAAACAGCCTGCTCCTTCTGGCTCTCCCACAACAAAGCAGTAATGAGATATGGTAGAAATAATAATATTTCTTTTTTTCACATTAGTCATGTTGTTAGGAAGAATTAGAACCACAAGAAAGAGGAAACAAAACAAAACAGAAGAAAAAAGAAGAGAAAATAGTATGTTTTGATCTGCATTCAGACTCCATAGTTCTTTCTTTGGGTGTGGAGAGCATTTTCCATCATGAGACCTTTGGAGATGTCTTAGATCTTTGTATTGCTGAGGAGGGTTAAGTCTATCAACGTTAGTCATCGCACAACATGGCTGTTAGTGTGTACAACATTCTCCTTGTTCTGTTCACTTCGCTCAGCATCAGACCATACAAGTCTTTCCAGGTTTTTTGAAGTCAGCCTGCTCATCATTTCTTATAGCACAATAATATTCCATTACATTCATATACCACAACTTACTCAGCCATTCCCCAATTGATGGTTATCCTCTCAATTTCCAATTCTTTGCCACCACAAAAAGAGCTGCTGTAAATATTTTTGTCCATGTGATAATACTTCTTTAAGGTTAGCTGGGCACTTGTTTCACAACACTTCTGTGAGGTAACAAGTACAAACATAGCACCCCCATTTTATAGATGGAGGAACTGAGGCTCAGACAGATTGTGGCACTCCCAGAGCTAAACTGAAGAGCTGGAATTTGAAACCTGGTCGCCTGATTCCCAGCCCAGCACTCTTTCCACTGTAGGAAAGTGGACCCTAGGAGTCAGGAAACCAGGGTCCTCCAGTCCTGAATCTCCTACCATTCTTCTGTATGCCCTTGAGCAAGTTCCTGCCATTCAGTTTCTTCTTTAAAATCAAGGGATTGGAGTAGATGGCATCTGGGATCCCTTTGAACTCTGGCAGTCTGACTTGGTCCAGGCCTGGCCATTCCAGAGGAAAGAAAGGCTCAGTTAGAATCTCTCACAAGGTTTTAGCTTATTTCATCCTTCTGGTTGTTCCTGCAGGGACAGATACAGAGGAGACAATACTGAACGCCTTCAGGATGCTGGACTCAGATGCCAAAGGGACAATCCACAAGGATTAGTAAATCTCTTCAATTTGTCTCTAGAATGTGGGGATATAAGGATGGAGGGATGAGAAATATGGCAGGATTGATTAAGGGGTTGCGAAAGGTTCCTGGTCACAAAAAGTGGGGGAAAAAAGTCAGGAGTGAGGGCCAGAGGAAGTAAGGGAGGGACAGGGGACTTCAAGGGCCAGATCCTCACAAGTGAGGGATGACCCTGCTGAGAGCTAATGTCAGGCCAGAAGGTTGGAGGGAGGTGGCAACTCACTTCAGATGGATTCTGGGGATTCTGAGTGTATGTGTGTGTGTTTATGGATAGATGACACAAGTAATCTGCTCACCTGGTGGAAAGCACACTTTAATACACAGTTCTGATAGAGACTTGATTTCTTAATGGTTCCATTTCTGTAACTCACATAAGCTGCTGAAAAAATTTATCCCCTGGAGGCCAAAGTTCCAGGGTTGAATCTGATTGGTCATTGGGATACTGTGATGTTTATCTAAAAAAGGTTGAACTAACCAGGATGATTTTCCCTTCTGCTTTGATTAGCATAAAGCTTCTGCTGATGTCCCAGACTGACAAGATGACTGCAGAAGAGGTTTGTTTTTTTCTGTTGCTCTTCCTCCAGTGAACATGTCTAGAGACTGTGTATGTCACCTTCGCATTAGAAAGTAGGGCTATGTATTGTCTAGCAGAGGCTGAAATCCTGAAGTGCCAAGATATATTTGAAACAGACAGGTCTTTACTGGAGGGTCTCCTGCATATGGGGTCTCTTCCAAGGCAGAGGCTCCTGGGGTGTATATTGGCCTAACATAAGAGAGAAGGGGGGAAAGGTCCCAACAAGGATCAGTTACCCAACTGTAACTCTTAGGTGCATCTTTCCCAGGTAGATTAAAGTCTTATGGATGACTCAAGAACCTGCTTCATTGAGTGTGTGGCTGCTACAGGGTTTGAGAGTTCTGTGTGTGATTACACAGCTACAGTGGCTTCTGGGTCACTGTAATGTTCCATGAATCTTCCCCTTGGGCTTATTACTATGGTAGCTTACTATGTCCTGAGCTTTAGCTGGGTACTCTGTCCTGGGCACTCAGAGGCTGTCTAGTTGTCCAGGAGTCCAAAGGTAGCACACAATATTCTCTATGATGAGATCTTGGGGATATCACTGATGCCCTCAAGCCATGGTTAATCATTCCCTCCACTAGAGGGAGGCCAAGGCTGGTATGTGTGTGTGTGTACAGAGCAAGTCATCCAAGGCTAAGTATGGGGAATGGGAGGAACATGGGAGCTAACTGATTTTCTTGTGTAAACCAACTTTCTTCCATATGACAGTAATGACCAGTTCCTCTTGGGAGCACCTGTAGCAGGGGTTTTTAACCTGGGGTCCATGGATTTCAGGGATTCCATAAACTTGGATGAGGAAAAAAAAGTACATCTTTTATTTTGACATAATTGGCTTTCTTTATAATCCTATATATTTTATGAATTTAAAAATATGATTCTAATTTAATAAAATAGTTTTTTAAAAATATGATTCTGAGAAGGGGTCCATAGGGTTCACCAGACTGCCAAAGGCATCCATGACACACAAAGAGTTAAGAAGTTCTAATCGATAGCAAGTTCATTAGTTTGATTGTAATAGCTATTGTATGGTGGAGATTTACTCTTGAGTTTTGTAGGATTAAGGTTGGAAGTCATGAGTGGAAAATAGTCTTGGAACTTTAATGGACTGAAGATGAGTTGACAAAGTGACATGATAGTTAAAAGGCCTAATTCAACAAGGCCATAGTAATAGAGGCATAATAACCACGTTGAACGAAGTGATAGTCCCACCATCCTCTGCCCTGGTTAGACCACATTTGGACTATTGTGTTCAATTCTGTATGCCACATCTTAGGAATGGCAGTGACAAATTCCTCCACAAAATCCCCGCTAGAAATACTTACAGTGGTGTGCAGGTAGCCGTGGGCTCTCAAAGGCACAGTTCAAGCTCCATCAGGATCTGCCGTGCCGTCCTTCCACTTCTGCCATCATGGTGGCAGAGGAGAGCCAAAAAACAGGTGGTAGATCTCCTTGCCAATTAGAGGGGCATGGGAGGAACAACATGGATTTTGAATGTAAACTCATTTGTAAAACCTTATAAAGGAGAAGGTGGAAGATCTTTAGTCACATCTCATCATAGAACAGCAAGAGGCCATGGAGGGGAAAACGGGTCTAGAGAAAGTCCAGAGTGAGAACCATTTAGGCCAGACCATCCCAAGAAATTTATAGATGAAGCTAGAAATAAGACAACAAACAGACAAAAAGAACAGAAAAGATCTGTCAGTATTTCTAGAACAGTGTCTTCCCCACAAATCATGGTAGGGCCACCATATCTAGATCCATTGGCAATACGCTGCAGGAGGAATTTGAAATGTTAATAAATCATGTAAGAGACAGGAAGGGCAAGTGGAACAAGCCAGGAGGCTTGGAGCCAGGAAGACCTGAGTTCAAATGTGGCCTTAGACACTTACTGCGAGTGTGACTGTGGGCAGGTCATTTAACCTCTTGTCCTCAGTTTCCTCATCAGTAAAATAGGGATCACAACGGCATCTACTTCCAGGGTTGTTTTGAAGATCAAATGAGATAGCAATTGTAACATGCAGAGCACAGTACCTGGCCCATAATATTATGCGTTTTAGCCTGTGTGATTCTTATTGTCGATGCCCTCCAAAAAATTCTTCATAAAGAATCTGCCCGCTACCCCTGCCCCAAGCCCCTGTGACCACGGACTCTTCTAATATCTTCAGGATATCAGTGTAGAACACAGGTTGTCTCTTTGTTGTCTTCCTCCTCCCCTCCTCACTCCCATTCATCTGCTGTGTGACCACCCTATTAGAGGCCATGTATGTCCTTGGGAAAGTCCTTTATACCGCTTTTTTGTACAAGTTGTTGGTGATAGTCTTTAGCCGACTTATGCGCACCAAGGCTCTTTCCATCACCTACAGGATTACTTGTCATTTTGATTCTTTTGAGATCATGGTGTTCCATAATCCACAGACATCTAATATAACCAGGAAAATGTTGGTGTTATGAAATGGGTCCTTGTGGTAGCAAGCGGTTTGGGATCGCTAAAGATTCTGTGCAGTTTCCCAAGTGCAATTTGTATGTACTGTCCTATTCAATTCTGGGCCTAGCTTATCATCCATCTGTAGTGACAGAGATACATAGATAGATAGATAGATAGATAGATAGATAGATAGATAGATAGATAGATAGATAGATAGATAGAAATGGATGGGTAGATAGATGATAGGTAGAGGGATAAATAGATGGATATAGAGATAGATGCATAGATAGATGATAGGTAAGTAGATATTGAAAGAGAGAGAGAGAGAGAGAGAGAGGAGAGAGAGATTCAATGGGCTGTCCCTTCAGCTCCATGTTAATCTGGATACAAATGTGCTTTTCATCAGTTTTGTTATTCTCACAGAGACAGTCAAGCTAATTTCTTTTGCATTGCTATGAATTTCACTAAAGAAAATTTGTCATGTTTCAGGGACATTGTCAATTAGTTTGGTAACATCGGAGAATAGGTGCACTTGTACAATATCAATATCACCGGTACCTCCCTATTTTTCACTTTCACTCAATGTGAACGGCCGGTGAGTTCTTCAGTCAACCAACAAGCAATTGTTAAGTGCCTACTTTGTGTCAGAAACCATGCTGGGAGCAAAGAGCTCTAAGTTTCATGTCAGAGTTTTGTGTTACTTTAACATATACAAGAGAGATACCAGCTTTGAGGAAACTAAAGATGCATTTTTTTTTTACTAAGTAAAATATTTATTAAAAAAAAAAAAGAAAATCAGCAAATCATGCAGAAGGATCTTTTATTATATATACCTCTCAATCAGTTTTGTGATTGTACAAATGGGTTCTTCATGGAAAATCATATCTGAAACACAATCCCGCCTGTTGTTTTCAAGGATAGCCTTAGTACATACATAGACTCTTCTCATAAAGATTTCATAGAGATGAGAACATAGGAATATGAGTTTAAAGTTGCTACTGGTTTTTTTTAGCCACCTTTTTAAAAAGGTAATATTGTTTGATTTTTCTATTTTTTTTTAATCTTCTCTCTCTCTGAAATACCTTGAAGACCAATGTCTGAGTACCTTTAAAATTCAGTTGAATTTCCTTCAGATTATTTATCAGGCCCAGTTGAGCTTTTAGAATTAATTTTCTTAAGGAAGAGTCACTTCCTCTTCCTCACCAAGTACACAAGTTCTAAAGAAGTAGCATGTGAGACTGGTAGAGGAAGAGAACCATTGGTGTCACTGTTTCCATAGGAAGATCCCCTCCAATTCTCTCATTGGCTACAGGGACAACCAGGCAGGAGAGCAATTGTTGCAGTTCCCCATTGTGTATTTAGGAGGGACAGCATGCAGGCAGACAGCTGGCAAATGGCAAAAAATGGTAGCCCAGAACCAACCTAAGTATGAAATGTGCTTGAGCATGGTGGATCTCAGTGGCAGGGTGGGATCAGGAGCTGTATGTCTCTGTGCTTTGGCAGTGAGTGAAGGGGCTGAGTCATGGTGGTAGGAGCATTTACTCTGAACCTCCCTTTCCAGTATCAACGTCATCATGTGTACGTGCCTCTATGTCTCACGCAGAGTTGTGAGTCTGTTGCCAGTTCCTTCCATGCATCCCCTACCAGTATGGAGTGAGCAATGAGAGCTGTAAAAGTCAGATTCCATCTAATCCTGTTGACCCCAATCTTGCCATAACTGAATTTGTCTCTCTCGTCCATGAGAGCTCTGACAGGGGTTGGGGAAGGAGGCAGTGTTCTAAGCAATCCAAGTCCTTGGTATTAGGCACACAGTAAGCACTTAATAAATGCTTTTTGACTAACTGACCTAACAAGGAGGTTTAGTTGTTGAGGAGACTAGACAGCTACAGAAACACTGGCAGAGTTGTTGCCCTCTTTCTGGTTTCATTTACAGATTTTCTCATGATGATGGGGCTTGGCTGGCTCTCTTACCAAGTTTTCTGCAGGCTCTTTTTTCTTCTCAACTGCTTTTCATTGTTTTGTATGGCAGTTCAGCTCCCAATCTTTAATTATCCCCCTCCCTAGTGTTTTGCAAATTATGTATTCTAAACTGATGCTGTTCTAGACCCTAGGCCCTGTATCTCTACTTGGCAAGAAGACAAGAGTTTTCTTGGCACTTTCTGCTTCATTTTATTTTTACATTAGTTAAGCTTCTCTAAGAAAAGTCAGTATTCAGAATCAATGTATTTGGTTTTTTTTTCCTCCACTTTCCATTTTTTAGAGTAAACAGCTTGTTTAAATAGGTCAGGCTGTTGTCATACTAAGTATCTTTTTCTCATTTTTACCCTTTTTTAAAAAAATTGGTCTTCTCTCTTGATCTAATCAATAATCTAAATACACATAGTTTGTTCTGAAAAATGCATACCACACTAAGAAGTCTTTATAGTAAATTGCACTTTTGGTAATGGTTATATAGTATTTTGGTTGTATAGTATTTCACCAGTTTAACACCTTCTGATTCTTATCTTGAAGAAAGTATTAAGGATGAAATGAGGCTTCTGAATAATCTGTAAGCTTTTGGTGTATTCATTTTTTGACTTTGAATCATTATTTTTAAATATTTTTCATTATCTTCCAACTCTTTACCATTTTTCCCCCATGTCCATTTTTGTACTGAAGTCAAAGAATATGTTGACTTGAAGAATTTTACCAAGTTCTTCATACCATTTCTTTACTTTATCCTCTACAATGCATATTTGCATATAAATTTCAATTATCTTTTTGGTGGTCCATTTAATTATGCTCATCATAAGCAATGCAAAGCGAAATGACCAAGTGGCCCTTGAAATTATAGTTTTTTTTTCTTGGTTAAGGGTGCATAGTGAAACTGGGCTAACTCTTATCTGCTTTTCCTAGGAGTTCCTGTGAGCCATTTAGCTACAACTTGAGCATGTCTTTTAGTTTCTTTTATAGTGAGAATGTCATTATAGATATGGTTCAGTTCTTCCAATTGCATATTCATTCATCATTAAAGACTTCATATTAAAAATACAAAGTTAAACTATTCATAGATAAGTCCAAAAATGTTATTTTTACTATCTAATACTCCCTTTCCCACAAATATACTGAAACAGAAACAGGAGGTTGCACAAAACTAACAGCCACTTTCTATTTTTATCTGTTTCATGAGTTACCATGGTCAGAAAAATTGATGACTGAGTAGGCAACCTTTGGGTGATAAACCCTTACAAACTTAGCTAAGGTTCTTGGATATCAAACACAGTCTATCTCCAGGTCTCTACTCAAATTCTTTCTAGCTTGGTCTTAGAGGCTTCCAAAGAGATTACATTGCTTCTGCAATACTGGAGTGACATCTGCAAAATAATGAGGCATCAAAGGAGGACTTTAGTGGAGGATTTGTGGAAGAGTGACTAAGACTTCTACTTGGCCCTGGAGAACAGAGCTAGAAGAAATGGATGGAAGTTGCAGAGGCAGATTTTTGACTTGCTATAAAAGGAGGAACTTCCTAACAATTATGATCTGTCCCAAAGTAGAACAAGTGACCTTGATAGATAGTGAGTTCCCTGTTACTGGAGGTGTTTTAGCAGAGGCTGTGGACATTCATCAGGCATGTAGCTGGGATTCACATAGGATTTAGACTGGATGGCCTTTGAAATTACTTCTAACCCTCAAATTCTATGATCTACCCTAAAATTGCAATGACTGATTCTTCTAACATAACATAGACCTCTGCTATGGGGCCATAGCCCTTTGCCAGTTCCCAGTAAATGGGTTTAGGGCTTGGGGATTGGTCCCTTTGATGTGCCACTTTGGGGCTTTGCCTTTTTCTTCATTTTTTCCCCTTGAGCACAAGCTTATTGCCCCCCCAAGTTCCTTGTGTTCCCCCATCCTCTTCTTCAATTTCCATCAAATTCAGACAAAACATACTTTAACATTTGAAGCTATTTTATACAAACACATGCAACCTCATCAGTTTTCTTAGAAAACCATTCACACTTATAATAATTAAGGCCACAAAAATATATAAACAGCATCTCTTTATTAAAAATAACTAGAGTGAATAACTGGGGGGGGGGGAATGGGGATGGGAATTGAGAATTTAGAACTTTATTTGCTGCCATTCACTGAATGTCCAGAAAGGGGAAAAAAGACCAAACTATGGCATGGAAATCATGTGGAGATTTGCTCTTTTCAGAAAGCAATGCTTTAGTGGACCCAGGTTTTAGACAATTCAGAGTGTGGGTGTGAGTTCAATCTTCTATCTGTCTGTGTGGGAAATGTTTGCTGAGTAAACTATAGTGCCCAGGGCCATACTACTTGAGAGAGGGAACTTTTTAAGGACTTGCATACAACTGAGGCAAAGATGCAGTTTCAAAAGAGCCTCTGAGACTTGAACAAACCAACATTTTGCTAAGACAGGTTTAGCCCAGCCCCACACAGTATGTCCACTCCCCCAGGTCAGGGGCTGTCCCTGGTGGGGATAGAGCATGGCTATACCTCTAATTCTACTGTTCTTATTGGACAGGCACCCCGCCCCTAAATGCTCTTTCTTCTCCCTTATTAATCTGTTGTGGGGTTGCTATTCCAGGGCTTGTCTAAACTCTTCTTGAACCTGCATCTATTCTCAGCCTCTCTACTAGCTCAGACAACAGCAATTGCTTGCCTTTTCCTAGTCCTATGTGAGTAAACGAGACAACCTGGCCTACTGGATACTGACATCAGAAAGAGCTGGGTTTGAGCCCTGTCTCTGGCACCTCTTAGCTGGGGGATCCCAACGAAATCACTGAGCCTTTCAGCGTCCCAGGCAAATCTCTTAAGACCAGACATTTCAGAGCTGCAGCAGTGGAGTTAATTTCTATACTAGTAATTGCCTGCACTGATGAAATCATAGGTCTAGAGCAACAAAACAGTGAACAAAGCCTGTACCTGCATACTCAGGCTGGTAATTATCAACCACTAGCATTCTCATCTCTCCCCTATCAGTCCTAGTGAGCTTACAGATGAAGTGAGTGAAACCATTTTGGAAAATGCTTCCCTTCGGTTCCCTCCATTCCAGGAGGCCTATGGGATGGAGGCAGTGGTGTCTGCCTCTCCGGGTCTCTCATCTCTGTCATCCCCAGCACACCACCACGAAACTCTACTGCCTCTAACACATCAGCGTCAGATTTGACTCAACCCTAATGCGCTGCTGGTTCCTCTGCCCCTGCTATTCCTCCTATGCCGTCACAGAAAGCAATGTGACCCTGTTTGTTAGAGTGTCCTGACATGCTTTTGTTTCTAAACCTCCCACAGATTGATCAGTTGTTCCAGTTCGCTTCCATTGATGCAGCTGGAAACCTGGATTATAAAGCTTTGAGCTACATCATCACCCATGGGGAGGAGAAGGAAGAATAACAAGAAGTAGACTGGGGGCGAGCATTACCCATTCAATAAAGTCTATTCAGCAAACACAGTCCTGACCTGACTGTCCATATCTGGTCCTAGAATAAGCCCCATCGGTTCTAAGCTAAGAAAGTCCTAGTTCTGAAATATATCCAGTCTCCTGGCCTGCCCTGGGTGCCCCAAGCCTGGGGAGTAGGGCCAACAGCCTTGTCCTGGGGGGTTCAGTAACTCTCAACAGAGCTCGTCCTTAGGGTCATTGACTCCCACAGGAATTCTCTCCTGGGCACGGCAGTACAGAAGCCTAGAAAAGCCCTCCTAATCTGGAGCAAAGGACCATGGCTTTATAGACTTTTAGAGCTAGAAGGCACATTAGAGATCCTCTGATTTTTACAGAAGAGGAAACTGAGGCCCAGAGAAGTTATTAGGCTCACACAGATAATAAATGGCAGAGTCAGGATTTGAACCCAGGTCCTCTGACTCTAAATCTAGTATTCTTTCCACTGTTGTCCAGTCATTTAATTTTGTCCGATTCTTTGTGACCCCATTTGGGGTTTTCTTGGCAAGGATACTGGAGTGTTTTACTATTTCCTTCTCCAGCTCATTTTACAGGTGAGGAAACTGAGTCAAACAGGGTTAAATGACTTGCCCAGGGTCACACAGCTAGTGTCTGAAGCCAGAATTGAATTCATGAAGATGAGCCTTCCTGACTTCAGGCCCAGCGCTTTATCCACTGTGCCACTTAGTTGCCCCACTCTTTCTATACCACCACATAAGAAGGAATGGAAAACACATTTGTGCTCCGGTCCTATTGGGGCAGCTGAATGGCACAGTATAGAGCGTTGAACTTGAGATCAGGAAGACACAAGTTCAAATGTAGCCTCAGACACTTACTAGTTGTAAGTCACTTAACCTCTGCCTCAGTTTCCTCAATTGTAAAATGAGGAAAATAATAGCACCTACCTTGCCGGGTTTCTGTAAGGATCAAATGAGAAAATATTTGGAAAATACTTAGTCCAGTGGCTGGCATTTAGTAGGCCCTTAATAAATGCTTGCTTCCTTCTCCCCACTGTCCTATGCACAGGATGAAGGACATGCCCTCACATACTGGGATTTACCTAAAACCTGAGGGCTCCTGGTCACTAAACAAGGCCTGGTCAAAAATCCTTCGGCTTCCTGGTTGCTAACTGGTCATAGGACCTTCTAGGATAGGACCTTGGCCTGGACCATGGCCAGGATCCTCACTTGGGAGAGGTTTGCTATGTTCCCCAGGCTAAGATGAAGCTAGTGAAGAGGATTTCTGTGCTGAGACTTTTAAACAGGTTGACTTCACCACAGTGGTCACAGTAGCTTAGAAGCTTTGTCCCAAATTCTCAACCATGGGCTCATCCCATCTACGGTACATTCCTTCACAAACTCCGGCATGGAACTTCTCCCAAGTGTTTAGAATTTTTCTAGTTCCTGGAATGACATTTTTCTTCAGTGCCTGGACTGAAGACTTTCCTTAGTACATGTAATGAACTCTCTCTCTCTCTTCCTTCTCTCTTCTCTGTCTGTCTCCTGTAAGAAGAAATCCTTCCCCCAATGTTATATGTGATGGGTCTTTTCCCTTCTCAATATGGATTCTTTCCTGCTGCCTGCTATAAAGTCTCTTCTAGGTGTATGGACTAAACTCTCCTCAGTGCCTAATATGAAGTCCCTCTCTCTCTGAACAGTAAAAAAATAGTCTGTCGCCCTAGCGCTCATTGCTGATTTGAGGTCTTTCCCTAAGTGCCCGGCACAGAGGGGCTCCCCACTGCCTTCTGGATAGATACCATATCCCAAAAGCTACTTTGATTGCACCAGGCCAAGAGTCAGACCCTTGGCAGTGCCTCTCCAGCTCAGCATCTGCCCGGTCAGAGAATACCGGTAGGCTAGGAAGAAAGAAGGATCAAAAAACAGTTTTCAGAAAATGTTTCCTGCCAAAAAATTCACCAAAGTTGTTCTTGAGGGAAAAAAAGTAAAGCTAGAAGTCTGATACAAGTGTTAGAAAGTGGTAGAAGTTAAGAGTGTAGTATATCTGGGTCACTGAACCGAAGCTCCATCTTCCTCATCCTTCTCAGCCCTGTGGGGCTTGTAGGTAATGTCGGCTTCTGCCTGAAGCCGCTTATATGGTGTGTGGAAGAAAATAATGAAGATGCAGCTGTAGATACAGGATAGCCCAGCCAGCAACAACATGGAGTCTGAAACCCAAGACAAGAAAGATAAGTCAGGCCGTGTAAACCTACCCTGGATTATTGCGTCTGGTCTTAAGAAACAGTCACAAGAAGCCCTGGCCTAGACTGTCCTTAGCCCATCTTACCCCACCCTTCTTCATGAGACACGTAGTCACAAGCCAGCCCAGGTCACCTGATGATTGCTTAGAAGCCAGCATCCTCATATGGGCCAATGTAGCTTCTCCTTATGACCTAGCCCCACAGTGAGCCTTTCCCCAGTCTCACCCTTGACCTCAGTCCCAAACTGTTCCCTGATCAAGGCTACACTGTGAGCCCTGATAATGGCCCAACAATGAACCTCAATTCTACTCCAAGACCAAACTCTCACTTGGACTCAGATTGAGCTGTAACCCCAAACTGAACCCTGACCTTGTAGTATGACTGAGTGTCAATCTGGCCCCAGATCATCTCCCTGAATATTCTAGGATTCATTCCTTACTCTGCTATTGCTGTTGCCCTATCTGGAGTTTCTGCTACATGAACCTAAGTCTACATGAATCCTAACTTTGAGGCTCAGCCCAGGCCCCTCCTCCATACTGTCTTCTCTGACAATTCCAGCCCTCCCTGATACTTTTCTTCTCTGAATTCCCACATCCCTGAGCTCACCAGTTCACTCATCACATGTCTCAACCTGCTTCATACAGATCTTCACTAAAATGTATTATATGTGAATTCTAAATGTGAATCTGAATATCTTGAATCTGAATTCAAGAGGATGCCTATTGCTGCATAAGGACTTAAACTTTTCACCACTCAGCAGCACGTGTGTGTGTGGGTCCATGGGGTGAAATGGTAGGGCTAGAAATGGAAATGTGAGGAAAGGGTGGGAGAAAAGTAAGAGTGGCTCATGAAGAAGGGTGTGGTGAAATGGGATAGGCTAGGCTAGGCCAGGATTGAATGGTATAGGCCTAGGGTACAATGAAGGACAACGGGATTGGCTGGGAAAAAAATGTGGAGGTTTGATGTAGGATGGGACAGAATGAGATAGGGTATAATGGAGAAGAAAGGCATTTAGAATGTAAGATTCTTGAAGGCATGGACTTAATCTCTGTATTCCTAATGCATAATAGAATACCTTACACATAGTAGGCTCTTTATAAATGTTTGTTGAATTGAATCCAACGTGGCTTGGCATGGGGCAAGCAGGATAGGGAAAGGTGAAAATCAATAAATGTCTGGTAATTTATTGAATCGAGTTCATCCCAGGCCTTAGCTGCCTGCATTCCCAGGGTTAGGCCCATACAGAAGTGCCATCTACTCACTTGTCCAGTCCAGGACGGTGCCTTCCTGCAGCTGGCATGTGGAGGGGCCAGAGCCGCTGCGCCATATTGTCAGGGCTTGTAACAGGATCATGATGATCACACCTTCAATTTGTCTGCAGCACAGATACAGCCAGAGCCTGAGTCCTTGTCCTTCCTGGACTCCTGACTCTCAATGCTAAAGGCACTTTCCCACCCAAAGAGACCACACAACTCCCCAGGCATCATGGTACAAAATTAGACCCTGACTCTCTAGGACCAACAAGACCCTTTGTCATGGCTGCTCTTTCTCTCAGGCAGCCTTCTAAGCTAATTTTGTTTTGGGGTCCCACTGTCACTGTGGTCTGGGATGAGGGGGGAATGAGGAGACAAGTTCAGAAAAGAAGTGTGAGATATCTAGGTCTGAAGTGGGTACAGAGATGGAAAGACAGGAATGAAGGAATGGGATCAGGAGAGGGATAGTGGGCAGAGTGAGACACTTGGGAAGGGCATAGGGGTGGCTACACAGGATCGGAAGAGGTCAGGGATTCCTGATAGCCTGGGAAGATGTTAGGAGACAGCATGTAGGGAGGATGTAGGGTTGGCTGTACAAGATTCAGCAGAAAGAAGGAAGATAGGAATGGGACATTTGGGTGAGTGTAGGGATAGTCACACAGAGTTGCCAGGGAAATGGGAAGGCAATAAGGGAAGCCAAATGGTGTTGGCGGAAAGAAAGACAGGAATGATACATTTAGGAAGTTGTATAGTGGTCACACAGGGTTAGCAGGTGGATGGGAGGTTATAAGGAGGATCACGCGGGGTTGGCAGAAGACAGAATGTACAGATTGCTGGACATGAACAGAGGCAAGTTTGGAACACTTGGGAAGGATGTGTCCATGGGGAGTTAGCAGAGGACCAGGGTAGTACTTACCCTATCACAAAGACCAAACCCGTGGAGGTACCTTCTCCTACTGGATAGGAACATTCAACTGCTAACTCAAAGGAAACTGGGCAAATGGAAAAACCAAAGAATCCTAATAGAGAGCAGACCACAGCTATCCACACCTTCTGGCCCTGGATCTGAGACACCTAGAGCAGAGATAGCATAATCATTAGGAACACTGCCCTGCTCCTGCTTCCCCCCCCCCCAGGTCTATGGCTGTTATGAAGGGCTGAGCCAAGACAGGGGCAAAAGTCCTTTTCTCTTCTTTTTTTTTTCTCTTTCCCTAATTTCTTTTCCCCCCCATTTAATGGTAGTTTATTTTTTCCAATTACATGTAAAGATAGTTTTCAATGTCATTTTTATAAGATTTTGAGTTTCAAATTTTTTTCTCCCTCCCTTCCCTCCCCTTTCCCCAAATCGACAAGCAATCTGATATAGGTTATACATGTGCAATCATATTAAACCCATTTCTACTTTAGTCATATTGTGAAAGAAGAATCAGAACAAAAGAGAAAAATCACTGGAAAAAAAGTGAACATAGTCTGCTTTGATCTGCATTCAGACTCCATAGTTCTTTCTCTGGATGTGGATAGCATTTTCCATCAGGAGTTTTTTGGAATTGTCTTAGATCACTGTA